TAGAAATGGTTGATTAATTATTTATTGAACAATGAAAGCTAGAAATGGTTGATTAATTATTTATTAAAGAAGGAAAGTTAGAAATGGTTGATTAATTATTTATTGAAGAAGGAAAGCTAGAAATGGTTGATTAATTATTTATTGAACAATGAAAGCTAGAAATGGTTGATTAATTATTTATTAAAGAAGGAAAGCTAAAAATGGTTGATTAATTATTTATTAAAGAAGGAAAGCTAGAAATGTTTGCCTTAAAACCTGATATTGCTCTTTGTTCAATGACCTTTTTCTAAGTTTTGATTTTAAAATAATTTATGTTGAGAAGTATTAAGTTTTTAGCAGAATACCCAACCTATAGTAACTGAGGAAAGAAATGAAATGCCTACTTAAATAAGCTTTAATAGAATTCTGTAATGCAGAATGTATGGTCATGGAGTTTATGTAATGATTAATACTGAAAGTATAATGGGCATTATTTGATAAAACTCAAAACAACAATTAAAAAGAAAGTATAAAGAACATCCCAAAAATTAGATATAATTGAAACAGTATACATAGATATGCACAATTCTATCTTCTTAAAGACTGAAAATATTCTGGTTGTAATGTTACAAATCACTAAAAGTTTGAAGAAATTACAAAACTATTAGCATTTTTGTGTCAGTTGTATAGGTTATAGCGTATAGTATCAAAGTGGTACTATGGTGTTTTAGTGATCAAAGTTAAGATGGAAGTGATACTATGGTGTTAAATATGTAATATCTATGTTAAATGTGTAATATCTGTTAAATATGTAATATGTTATGCTAAATGTGTGTAATATCTGTTAGATGTGTGTAATATGTATGTTAAATGTGTGTAATATCTATGTTAAATGTGTGTAATATCTATGTTAAATGTGTGTAATATCTATTTTAGATGTGTGTAATATCTATGTTAGATGTGTGTAATATCTATGCTAGATGTGTGTAATATCTATGCTAGATGTGTGTAATATCTATGCTAGATGTGTGTAATATCTATGTTAGATGTGTGTGATATCTATGTTAATGTGTGTAATATCTATGTTAGATATGTGTAATATCTATGCTAAATGTGTGTAATATCTATGTTAGATGTGTGTAATATCTATGTTAGATGTGTGTAATATCTATGTTAGATGTATGTAATATCTATGTTAGATGTGTGTAATATTTATGTTAAATGTGTGTAATATCTGTTAGATGTGTGTAATATCTATGTTAGATGTATGTAATATCTATGTTAGATGTGTGTAATATTTATGTTAAATGTGTGTAATATCTGTTAGATGTGTGTAATATCTATGTTAGATGTAATATCTGTTAGATGTGTGTGATATCTGTTAGATGTGTGTGATATCTGTTAGATGTGTGTAATATCTATGCTAAATGTGTGTAATATCTATGTTAGATGTGTGTAATATCTATGTTAAGTGTGTGTAATATCTGTGCTAAATGTGTGTAATATCTATGTTAGATGTGTGTAATATCTATGTTAGATGTGTGTAATATCTATGTTAGATGTGTGTAATATCTATGTTAGATGTGTGTAATATCTATGCTAAATGTGTGTAATATCTATGTTAGATGTGTGTAATATCTATGTTAGATGTGTGTAATATCTATGTTAGATGTGTGTAATATCTATGTTAGATGTGTGTAATATCTATGCTAAATGTGTGTAATATTTATGTTAGATGTGTGTAATATCCTATGTTAGATGTGTGTAATATCTATGTTAGATGTGTGTAATATCTATTAGATGTGTGTAATATCTGTGCTAAATGTGTGTAATATCTATGTTAGATGTGTGTAATATCTATGTTAGATGTGTGTAATATCTATGTTAAATGTGTGTAATACCTTTTAAAAGTAATATATTTATGTTAAATGTGTAGTATCTGTTAAATGTATAATATTTATATTAAGTGTATAATACCTTTTAAATGTAACATATCTATGTTAAATGTGTAATATATCTGTGTTAGTCATAATAAAATTCACCTTTTTATTTTTACTTCCATATGTTTTTTTTTTTTCTAGTAAGAAA